CTATGTCAGAAAGCGGAAGTGACGAGAATTTAATCACTTCTGGTTTCAGTCTGTTGTTAACCAGTTTAGGTAAACTTTGGATCAAACAGATCCAAGTTTGATACAAAGTTCTCAACCACAGAGGAGATATAATAGACCCCAGATGTCTTGCTAAAAGGACCTGCCTATTGTTATGCGGGTCCGCATTTCTCTGTGCGGGTGGTGCGGCTGCATGGATTTTTTTGTGTGGATCCGCAGCGGCACCACCCGCACAGATGAACCTAGCCTTAGGGTTGAATACAAAACAGAAAAGACTACCAATGCTTACATGCCCTTTGCACGATGCCTGGACAAGGTCACCCAGAGTCCAGGGCAAAGAAGCCAGACAGTGTCCCCCCCCCCCTTTTTATTTTGTGTGAGCTTAGGGGTTGCAGTCACCCGCTTGTCAAAATGCCTTGCATCAGAATGAGCTTGCTGGTGCCCCCATCCATACAGTGAACAACTGCTCCTAGGGTAGCCACCACTCCTGCCCACCCCTTGTCCTGGCCCTGTCTGTAACACTTGTAAAAGTGTCATCTATTTAATCTACATTCTCAGACACATTACAAAGGCACACCACCAGGGACATATTCAGAGGCAGCTGAACACCGCCTCTGGACGCAGCAGCAACACTTTGCGCTGTGGCCGCATACAAACTGTCTGATTAGCTGTGGCTAGTTTGTGTGTTCCCAGAACTCAGCCGAAATGCCGACCCAGCACACTGGGTGTTTCTCAACCAGCGTTCTTTTTGAGGTTGCTAGAGGTTCCCTCAACAGTGAGCAATGGTGGATTGCTTTTTAATCTCACTGACCACTAATGCTGGAGGGCAGATTTGCACGAAGTCACATCAACTCTGTGTTCACAGGTGAAAAAGTTACCTTTGAAAGAAGAGAACACTCTACCCATTGTTAAAGTGACACTATATGATATCCTTATTCTCCAAAAATAATCCACCTTATTGGCCCTGTAATCTACTTTTTAGGAAATAATTTCTTACTGCGGTTGATTTATTAAAGACAAATAGACTGTGCACTTTGCAAAGTGCAGTTGCATTCTGCAAGTACAGTTGCTCCAGAACTTAGTAAATGAGGTAAAGATTCACATTACAAAGGATACACAATAATTTTCAAGGAAAATGTAAAAAAAAAAAAAAAAAAAAGCATTTTCCCTTGCAAATGATTGGATGATGGAAGTCAGCGGATTCTGCTCATTTACTAGGCTCTGGAGCAACTGCTGTTTCAGAGTGCAGCTGCACTTTGCAAAGTGTACAGTCTATTTGCCTTTAGTAAATTAACCCCACTGTGTCTTTCTGCCTCCTTGTAACATCCCCTGTGAGCTCCTGAATCTCCCACCTTTCCACGTCACTTTTGTTCATTTGGAACAAGCAATGCACTTTAGTTGCAGTCATGTGCACTACTTTGTGCACACTACAACTCCCATAGTCTTTCTCTAAAGAGCAAGCTATAGGGGTTAGGCAAAAAAATGGAAACACTATTTGATTTGCAGGTGTGACAGTGACAACATTTCACGTTATAATCGGAAGTGATGTAACATTCTTTTACTTCTGCTGTGTGATGAGACACCTAGCTAACAGATGGGAAGCCTCACTTTCGTCATTCGCTGCTTGCGCTGCTAGTAATAGAGTCATGTCAGAGCTTATTGAGCTTCAAAGAGGGCAAATTGTTGGTGCCCGCTTAGCTGGTGCCTCTGTGTCGCAAGGTACAGTATCAAAAGTTAGAGTGGCATATACAAAACGTCATCTGATAGGCATAAGCGCCATCGACGTGGTCAACTGACTGAAAGAGACAAAAGGACATTGTGCAGGATTGTGACTCGAAATAAGAAAACAACTGCTGCAAAAGTGATTGCAGAGCTCAATCTCAGTTCCTTGAAGACTGAGATTGAGCTCTGCAGTCACTTCGTCATTCCGGGTCACAATCCTGCACAATGCCCTTTTGTCTTTTTCAGTCGGTTGACCATGTCAACCACTCTTGTGCTATTTTGGAATTGGGGTTATACTTTTGTCAGTTTTAACTGCTTTCCTGCCGCCCTATAGCAGATATACTGTTACAGGGATGCAGGGGTGCGCAAAATCACGTGTATATATACATGATTTCACATTTCTGGGTAGGGGGGCGCGTGCCCTACCCGTGCCGCTATTTACAGCCTCGGCTGTCAATCACTTGGTACCAGCCAGTGATTACTCGTCGGCACCCGGTGATCACAGAGCATTGCCGACTGAGGGAGAGAACTGTATGTAAATGATACAGTTCCTGCTTTGTATGGCTCTGAAAGCACTAACACAGCCTACTGTAAAACACACAGTTGACCCTTTGATCGCCCCACATGTTAACCCCTTTCTGCCCAGTGCCATTAGTACAGTGTCAGTACTTTTTATTAGCACTGATCCCTGTATTAGTGTCACGGGGATGTCAGTGATACCAAGTCAGTTGTCCGCCGCAGTCCCGCTATAAGTCACTGATCGCTGCACTACTAGTAAAAATTAAAAAAAACGAATCCCAGTATATATACCGCCAATTGTAGACGCTATAACTTTCACATAAAGCAATTCATTTACATTTTATTGAGATTTTTTTTCTAGCAAAGACATGTAGCAGAATACATTTTGGCCTAAATTTATGACGAAATTTGATTTTTTTAAAATGTTTTTACTGGACACGTTTAATAGCAAAAAGGCAAAAATACAGTTTTTTTTTTCTCGAAATTGTCGGTCTTTTTTATAGCGCAAAAAAAAAAACCACACAGGCTATAAAATACCACCGAAAGCTCTATTCATGGGGAAAAAAGGACACATTAAAGTAACACAGCGCCGTAACGCAAAAAATGGCCTGGTCAGGAAGGGGGGTAAATCCTCTGGGGGGCAAGTGGTTAACTTATTTCACAAAAAAAAATATGGGTTCTTCTTTCTTTTGTCTTTGTATATTCATCAGACTGACTAATACAGCATCCCCCAGCAACCATCCCCACCTCCAGCACAGTCAAAATCATTTGGTTAAATTTCAGTAATCCCTTTCACAGAGTCTCTGGTGTGAAACTTTATTGTCACTAAGAAAATGAGCTGTTTCTCTTGTTGATCTGATCTTTGGTGTTCAGCTCAGCAAAACAGTTTACCTTAGCAGGGTGAAAGTTCAACTAGTGATCAGAGCTGTGATCTCAGCTGGCATTGATCCAGCTCACATACTGTTGCTTTAGGTTGAAATGTTCCATGCATATGCTGTAGCAAAGCTCATGATATATCATTCTAATAACACGGACAGGATTTTAGATCTGCTGTGTAAAACACATGACTCTAATACTGCAGAGCTTACATCAAATGTCTCAAGCAAAGAGTTCTTTGACTCTGGGAAATAGCACAGCTTTTTATTATTGAAGTCTTGGGGCTTGCTTTAACATGCAGTAAAAGTTTGCAGGTGAGCCACATTTTTACTGCTCCCCTAATCACTCCCGCTTAAGCTGCAAAAGCCCACTAAACATGACCCATTCACGGCTTTTCAGGTTGAAACAGGCGGTGTGGAAAAGACCTGACACCTCCTTACTGACTGGCAAATTCCATCTGAAAAGCAATCCAATCCACTGTGGAGCCACTTGTTTTCTGTTTGTTTGTACAAACAGGGCTCGTTCACACTTGGCTGTTTTACCAACGCTTGCCAAACGCCCCTTTTTTAACGCTCGGCAACCGCTCTGGAAACGCCGCATGCGCGGTTTAGCGGCGGTTGCTAGACGTTTGCCGATCATTAAAAATGCCCCACAAATGCCTATAATGCAGTTTGAATGGTGTTAACGCCCCGCAACCGCGTTGCAACCGCACCGCAAATGCCAGCCGGGCGTTTGCGGAGCGGCACCATAGACTAGAATAGGAGGCTTCAACGCCTCCTGACTCGACCAGAGGCGTCCGTTTTGCCGTGATGCGACGCAAACGCTGCCGTTAGAACAGCACCATGTGCTGTAATGTGCAGAATTGGCAGAGGCATTTGGGAAGCGGTAAAAACGCTTCCCAAACATCTCTCTGCCTCCTGCACACAACGCTAGTGTGAACGTAGCCTAACACATTTTTCTTTGCTACAATCCAATTAGCTTTCTTGCATAGTCTGCAGTTCAACTTCCTTTCTTTCCACGAAGGACACATAAGCAGTGTTATACTTTTTTTTTGTTTGTTTGTTTTCTTGGGTTTTTTTTTTTTTTTTTGTTTTTTTTTTTTATTGCTTACCAATTTTTTTAATGTCTTGTGGCTGGTTACATGATGCGCTGGGTCATCAGGGGCTGACACTATGATACTCTGCATTTACAATCTTTCCTCAGTCTTCCAGGATTAGTAATCCTGGGTGTCATTCAATTTGGAAAACTGAGGACATCTTGTGGCAAAGGAAAGGTAATGCAGGGACAGCTCCAGATTGAAGCCAGAGCTACCCCCCTTTTTCTTTTTCTTTTTTCTTTTTTTTCTTTTTTTAAACCTCCAGAGGGATATTTAAAAAATGGCTTGAAGTTGTGCTTTAAGTGTTGTAATAGAACATTTTGAGGCTTCATTTAGATGTGCAATTGGGGGGCAAAAATGTGCGGTTGTACCGTGATTTTGCCAGCTACCAACTGTAGCCCCCCCCCCCCCCCCCAGCTGTAATGCTTCATACCCATGGCAAATTTTATGTGACATGTAGCAGGCAGCAAGCCCGCTGAATGCTACACTCTAGCTAATGGGGAAGGGCTGGAAATGTCCCATAACTGTGTGCAATGCATGCTGTTTTGATGCATTTGTCAGCAAAAATGGGGTTAAAACAGGTGACGAGGAAGCATCACATCACTTCCTTACCACCTGTCAGTAGCCTTTGAAGCGCAATCTGAACATAGATCAGGCTTCAGTGGAAAGGGTGATTTAGAATCAAGTCTTAATCTACCCCTAATGTGACGCATGCTGACTTTATAAATAGGATCCATTTGCTTATGAAAAGAGTGTTTGTGTTTTACAGTTAATGTTGGTGACTACATCGAGGCTGTGTTGGACAGAAATCTGGCTGAAAATATATCCCGGGTTCTCTACCCCAATGATAATGTAAGTTTTTTTTGTTTTTTTTTTTCACTGTATTATGGGTAATCTCTGCCAGGCCCATAACATTTCAGTTTTGATCTGATTCTCCTTGAAATTCAGCTACTGTGAACTAAATACGTTTTTTAATGTATTCTTGCAGTTCTTTGAAGGCAAGGAGCTGCGGCTGAAGCAAGAGTACTTTGTGGTAGCGGCTACGCTCCAAGATATCATCAGGAGATTCAAGTCTTCCAAGTTTGGATGCCGGGATCCAGTGAGAACCTGCTTTGGCACTTTTCCAGATAAGGTAAGTTATGCGTTATAGAAGTGTTACTACAGGCTATGATTTCCAGTTTCCCTGGGCCAGGAACTACTATAAAATGTTTAAAGCGGAGTTCCACTCACCCTGTCAAAAAATAAGTCTAAAAAACTGTAGCTACTGACTTTTAAAAAACAGCCACTTACCTGTCCCTCGGTTGCGCGGTGTGTCCCCCACAGCCCGTTTCACCGGCCGTCCTGTATTCCAGGAGGCCGGCATCTTCAGTGTGGGCACCCGGCTAGACAGCTTGCAGCTTCACAGTCGGGTACCCACTGCGCATACACGAGTAGCGCTGCGCTTCATGAATGGTCCTGTAGTCTTCTGGGACCTGTCACGTGTCCCAAAAGACTACAAGGAGGGAGGGAAGGAGGCCACCTTCCAATTCCGATCGCCTAGGCGATCGGACCGGAAGTGGGAGCGGGTACCTGTCAAATTCGGGTACCCGCTCCCCCCAAAGGTGCCAATCCTTAATGGGGAGCTGGAGATCAGTCCTTAAAGTGGAACTTCCCCTTTTGGGTGGAGCTCCGCTTTAATATCCTCTGGAAAGGGTTATGGAAACTAAATCTATAAAAACTTGGTGTGAAAGAAGAGCCTGCTGTTGTACTGAACTATATTTTGTAGTGGCTTGTAGTCACAGAACGGAGATGCAAGTCTTTCAGGGCCAAATATTTGCAAACCATTATGTAATAAAGGGACTAAACTAACCACTGTGTGTGATTTATGAGATTGTTTTAGCCTTCTAACATGCTGCTAGTGACTACACAAACAAGTACAGTTTAACAGAAGTTTATTTATGGGAGTAGGAAACAGAGAAACATGATGGTATTGGTTAGAAAAGTACCACCTGGCAAGTCAAGTCAGGTCAGGAAAACCCCATTGACTTTAAAGTAGCAGTACAAATGACAGTTGGGAGGCTGTGTTTGACCTGTTTGTGTTGTTGTTTTTCTTGCAGGATGTGCTATTAAGCTGCATTTTCCATTCAAACACAGCTGCATTTAAATGAAAATAAGAATGCCCCTAGACATTGACCCTAATAGTGGCCATATACATTTCAATAATTGATCATTTTCCTTTTCCAATCTTTTCCGCTAGGAATAATCGATCTATAGTCGACAATCCATTTAATTGTTTAACACATGCAAGTAAGTGGATTTCAATCATAGTAAAGCCACTATATTAATTTTTACCTACAGGTAAATTTATCTCAAAGCTTACCTGTAGGTAATATGAATATCTCCTAAACATGCACCACTTAGGAGATATTTGGGGTTTTTTACAGTCGGCGCATGCGCTCTGAAGGAGTGGCATACCTGAGACTTGCATGCGTGGGAGTGACGTCATCGCAGCTCAGCTAGCCAGATGTCTGGATGGCTTTTGAACCCGGAAGGAAGACTAGGTGAGGATGTAAGCCTCTACAGTGGTGACAATGTGCCGTTGCAGGGCTTAATTTTAAGGTATGTTTTTACATAATGTGCCAGTATGCTATGCATATTAACACATTATGCCTTTACCTTGCAGGGGATTTTTTTCTTGGATGCGGTTTACTATCGCTTTAACCTATGATTGTAAACAATCAATCAATCACATCTGTTTCCACCATGTAATCTCATAATCTGATAGCTCGAAATACTGTTGTATTTATAAACAGAGTACCCCAGCATTGCCAATTGATGCAAAACAATCAATAATATTCTGCCCTGGTCAATCGACTCAGTTTGATCGAATTCAATCTAAATGGAATCTAAACCAATTGGAATGGAAATTATGGCTATTCGATTGTTTTTCCGGGGATTCAGTCATTTTGATTGAATCAGACATCAATTGGATAACAAAACTAAAGCGTACGTGGCCATAAACCTGACAACATTGTCTAATACAATGGTCATTGTGCACCACTGAGCTAGTTACAGCTGACTTAAGCACTTCACGTTTAGGCCAATTCTCACATTCCTCTCCTACATGTAAAATACCACATTGTTTTTCTAGAAACCTACTTTGAACCCCCAAATATTTTTTTTTTTTTAAGCAGAGGCCCTAGAGAATAAAATGGGTATGACTGTGTTCACCATTGCGTGCGAGCACGGTAGGACAGGGGCTCTTTACATTTTTTTATTATTATATATTTTATTTTAATTTTTTTATTTTTTTGCGCTGTTTCTTAAAAATGTTTTGATCGCTTTAATTGCTATTACAAGGAACCTAAACATTCATTATGATAACAATAAGCAGGTCCTCTTTAGTGAGATATCTGGGGTCTGGTATATCTCCTCTGTCGTTGAGAACTTTGGGGGCAGGTGCCATTACTTCTAATGGCACACCACCCGCACTGTTAAAAGGAACCGAGGTTCCCGTGCGGGCTGTGTTTTCAGAAGAAGTGTAGGGACTTATTCTTCCTTGCATGTCACGGGGATGGGAGCTCTCATGCCCGTGCAAAACGTGGCTCGCACGGCCGCATATATGTGAACCGGGGCTGAATAGCTTCAAACATGCTTGAGGCAAGCATAGATCTGTACTTGGACAAAAAAAGTTAGTAAAAATGAAAACCTCCAAAACCCCCCACCCCAAAAAAACGGGCAGTCGATGGACCACTCAGTCTTTGTTTCTATGTGTGTGCTTCTATCTTGATAACATTTCCAGTACTATTGCCTTTCTAATGCAACATGTCCTTTACAGGTTGCCATTCAGCTAAATGACACCCATCCTGCTCTTGCCATTCCTGAGCTCATGAGGATTCTTGTAGATGTGGAGGGAATGGAATGGGACAAGGTGAGAACAAATAAACGAGACAATCATAGCTGAAATCCAGGCAAACAATTGAATATATAGTTCATATGCACATGTCTACTGTCTTACCTGCTATGGGATTTATAATTCTGTCCAGTAACTTTTGCGATTCATTGACACCTAGGCAAAAGTTGTTAGCTATTGAGCAACATAAGACCTTAGTGGAAAGCATTACCATTTTACATTACTGTTTGTGGGCATCCCCTTGGTTTTTCCACATATTCTAGGCTTAACCATAACGTATTTTTTCATATACCTTTTGGTTTTTTACATGTTTTATCTTCAATTATTATGTTAGTGCATTAAATATAGAGATTTGTAACAGCAATTGTTCACTCTTGATTAGCATTGTGAGAAGGAGAAATAAGGAACAGCCATTGTATAACACTGCAAATAGGGAGCCAAAGCTTTAGTATGTCATTAGAAAATATGGCTACGTGTATGCATAAATTATTACTAAGTATACATAGAAAGAATGCTTTAAAACAGGGGTAGGCAACCTTGTGAGCATTGTGTGCTGAAAAATGTTTTCAAAGAAATTGGGAGTGCCAGTAATATAAAAAAAGTCAACTTCACACGATCAATCACGAAAGTAAATTTGTATTACGGAAATGCTGAAAATGACTTGAATACTAGTAAGCAATGAATATTGAAGTTTGCACCTACACACCTCAGATCACCCAAATTCCTGCACCTTCACCCCTCTGATCAGCCCAATTCCTGCACCTTCACCCCTCAGATCAGCCCAATTTTTGCACCTTCACCCCTCAGATCACCCACATTCCTGCACCATCAACCCTCAGATCAGCCCCACTTCCTGCACCTTCTCCCCTCAGATCAGCTCAATTCCTGCACCTTCACCCCTCAGATCACCCACATTCCTGCACCTTCACCCCTCAGATTGGCCCCACTTTCTGCACCTTCACCCTCAGATCAGCCCAATTCCGGCACCTTCACCCCTCAGACCAGCCCAATTTTTGCACCTTCACCCCTCAGATTAGCCCAATTCCTGCACCTTCACCCCTCAGATCAGCCCCACTTCCTGCACCTTCACCCTTCAGTTTATCCCCAATTCCTGCACCTCCACCCTCAGATCACCCCAATTCCTGCACCTTAACACCATAAATCACCACAATTCCTGCAACATAAGACCGCAGATAATCCCCGATGCTTGCATCTTCACACCTTAGATAAGCCCCAATTCCTTCACCTTCACAACTCAAATCACCCCAATTCCTGAACTGTCACACCTCAAATCACCTCCAATTTCTGCACATTCACACTTCAGACCAGACCCAATTTCTGCACCATTGCACCTCAGACCAGAACCAGTTTCTGCACCCTCAGATCTCAAATAAGGACAAGTTCTCCACCTTCACACCTCAGATCACCCTAATTCCTGCACCTTCACACCTCAGATCACCCTAATTCCTGCACCTTCGCACCTCAGATCACCCAAATTCTTATATCTTCACACCTCAGATCTGCAATTTCTGCACCTTTACACCTCAGATCAGTCCCAATTCCTGCACCACTAAATTAGCTTGGGGCATCTGACTGATCCTATGATTGTACCTAGCCTATCTGATGAGGGGGTGCAGTATAAAATGTAAGGGGGCAAAGGATTGGTTGGTCAGCAGGGCAAAGGATAGTGTCGGCAGTTTGTAGGGCATTGTACAGAGGCCAGCAGGGCACAGGTTGGGAGGTCAGAAGAGGAGCATACAGGGCTCAGCAAAACAGAGTCCAGCTGGTTGGACAACAGGGGTAAGCAGGTCAAAGGACAGGGGTTAGTAGGGTAGAGGACAGGGGGTCAGCAGGATAGTGGATAGTGGTGCAGGGGACGGGTTAGCAGGGCAGAGGATGGGGTCACCAAGGCATAAGATAGGGGTCAGCAGAGCAAAAAACAAGGGTCAGCAGAGCAGAGGATGAGATCAATAGGGCATAGAACAGGTGTAACCAGGACAGAGGATGGAATCAACGGGGCAAAGGACAGGGGTCACCAGTGCAGAGGATGGGGTCAGCAGGGTATAGGATGCAGTCAGCAGGGAATAGGACTGGCTCCACAGGGTAGAGGACAGGGAAAAAAATGAAAATACTATATATTCCCATAGCCCCCACTCACACACTAGTTTAGCGTGACGTTTGGTGTCACGCTAAGGCACATATTTTGCACGTTGACACATTTCAAGCATAAAGCAGCCCATGTGGCAAATATAGCAAAGAAGGTTGTGCATTCTTTTGAGCTACAAGCTTTTTGCATTTTAACAGCACTTTTGCATGTTTATCAGTGTGTTCTTGCCTGTGCACACAATTGTTAATATTCTCATTGCACGTGGTCCTGAAATAAGCTCCAAAGTAATAGGTGCTGCAACAACAACCGGCTGGACACTGGGACCATGCATAGTGCAATGTAAATATTAGCCCACTTCAAATGTCATGGAAAATACTTACATTGCTCCTTGCGTGTACATAAAAACACCTCTTGCTTAGCACACTGGGGTGCTATTATCAATGAATGGCATTGCAAGCAAGGCGTGTTTGTTGAGCGTTCTCTGAATATTCCTCTTGCTGCTGTCAATCATATCCTATGATGAGGGGGGCGGGGCCAAGCCGCATCTATTGTCTGTGGACACAGGCAGCACGGCTCAGAAGCAAGCTCACAGGTGTGCCCCATAGCAAATGGCTTGCTATGGGGGGCACAGTCTGAAGTGGAGGAGCCAGGAGCAGCGGTGGGGGACCCCAGAAGAGGTGATTCTGGCCACTCTGTGCAATTCCATTTTACAGAGCAGGTAAGTATATCATGTTTTTGTGGGGGGTTTTTTTGTTTTGTTTTTAATTTTATACTTTACAATCACTTCAAATGCAACAGCTCTCTGAGACTGGTTCTCTGCTAAAACAATTGTTAATTCAACAGAATACTAAATTAAGCCACAGTTGGCTGACAGGATTACCTATCTAGTTTTATATTATTAGCAAACAGCAATTTCCAAGTATGTGTGTACTGCATGTCAGGCTAGGGGAATGGCCATGAGTTATAGTAGAACCGTGCAATTATTATAATTTGAATTTACAACAGACAGAGATCTACAGTTGTGGATCTATATGGCATGTTATCTGTTCAGGTGATTTATTGTGATAATAATCTTTGTTTTTTTCCCTAGGCTTGGGTCATTACAAAGAAGACCTGTGCATACACCAATCACACAGTACTGCCTGAAGCTTTGGAACGCTGGCCAGTTCATATGTTTGAGAAACTGCTGCCTCGCCATCTGGAGATCATCTATGAAATTAACCAGAAACACCTGGATGTAAGAGAACATATTTGTGCTTTATACTTATCAGTATATGAGAAAGTAATCCGGTTACAGAGCACCTGGAGTAATTGAAGATACCTTATCTTAGTTTTATATTATTGAGCAACAGCAATTTACAAGTATGTGTGTTACTGCATGTCAGGCTAGGGGAAAGGCCAGAGTTATATTGAACTGCATTATGTGCAATGGCTAATTTGAATTTACAACAGACAATCTATGTCCTGCTAAAGACCTAGTACTTTCTCTTTTAAACAGTACAGGCATACCTTGATTTACGAATTCCTCAATTACTGTGGTGGTTGACAAACATGGTGAAGGCCAGAACTGGTCCCATAAAGACACTTTCTCTTTTAAACAGTAATTTACCATGAAGTTACGGTTAATGTAATTTTCGGTTTACGAATGAAAATCCTGTGCCTTTAAAGTGCAAAAAGTTTTGAACAGAAGACTTTTTTCTGACCTCCGGAACGGATTAATGGTTTTCAGTGCATTTACGTATTTATTTTTAATCATGTCCCCCCGTACAGTATTTATGCCTTTAAATTGCACTTTATAAAGCGTTTTGAACAGATAAAAGACTTTTTTTTTTTTTAAATTTTTTTCTGACCTCCGGAACGGATTAATTGGTTTTCAATGCATTCCTATGGAAAACTGCACTTCAGTTTGCAAATTTTTTGCAATACGAAATGTCCCGGAGAACACATTAAATTTGTAAACCGAGACACTTCTGTATATCCCAAAATGAGGACACTGGCAAGATCACGATTTACAGGTTTATTTGTTTACAATTAATTTTCCAGAGAGCACAGATGGTGTCTGATTATTGTATGGCTTTTAATTAAAATGAAATGTGACATGGTCTGAATAGTAGCCAATTTGAGTATTTTTTTTCCATAAGGTTGGTTGGAAAATACATTATCATGTGATTGGTTGTTTAGTTTGCACCAATATTTTTTGTAGCTGTTCTAAATGAGATCCGTTGTTTTTACTGACTGTCTGAAGAGTAGATACGACAAGGGAATAAGAGCACCTGTCCTTTTACTTGAATTGTCGAATTAGAAATTGATAAGCAGCAATGTTGGCTTGTATTGTATTGTGAAAGCAGTGTCCAGACAAGGTAAGCAGAGAGCAAATGACTAGTCACCAGGTTTGCCTGTAGGCTCCCTGCAGCTAATCATCTTCCCATTACTGATTTACCACACCTTGTTTAGCATTATGTAGAGGGGACAGGAAGGAGAACTATGGGCAGCACAGAAGTGATATCAAGTCTTGCTTGGAATCTATTGCAAAAAGGGAGTCAGAGGCAGCAGTGCCTTGGATGATCTCACACTGCAGATATCCAGTGATGAGGCCCAAGAATGCCCTGGTATTTGTCAGGAGGAATTTAAGGCAAAAAGTAACATTTTATGGGCACTGCTTATGTAAAATGTAACATTCCCCTATAATTAACAAAATCTTTACTTTTTGAGTTCAGTTCCATTTTATATGCAGTGTGATATAAGCATGAAAACAGAGGGCAATGTAAGGCAAGCCAAAGATTTTGCTATTTTATTTCCTTCAACCACAGTTTGAAGGAAAGAAAATTGCTCAATTTCCCCATCAACACTGTCAGTCTTGATGGGGGAATTCCTCCCACAGCTCTATTGTGTTCTGCCTGCGGAGAGCAAGGGGAGCCTTCCCCACCAGCAGAATACAATGATCACTAATATATAGTGATCGCACAGAAAAAATACCTGACAGGCTATTTGTACTGAAGTCGATTGATAGACTTCAGTACAACTAGCCTGCCCATAGATGAATCAAAATTCATTTGGTTTCTGCTAAACCAGCCAAATTTCAATCTGTCTATGGCCTGCCTTACTCTTTGCAGCAAAGAGGCATTATCTATCACAGCACCTACCCTGTTCACTTTACACTGCTAGGTTCACATTTTTGGAATAAGCGTTGTACATAGAAGGACCTAGCATAATATACAATTAGAGAGCATTGCAGGCAGAAATAAGACATCATTTGTAATTGGAGTATACTACATGCTATTGGTAATTTAATGGATTTTTGTTTCTGCATTTGCTTAGAACATATGAACAAGTTCAACATAATTTTGCCATACAACATTGGACCTGTGTATTTTACTGATTATTCTTATGCCATTCTTCAGGAAGTGGCAGCCATGTTTCCTGGCGATTTGGATCGGCTGAGGAGGATGTCTGTTATTGAAGAAGGAGATTGTAAGAGAATAAACATGGCTCATCTCTGTGTGATTGGCTCTCATGCTGTCAATGGTGTGGCAAGGATCCACTCGGACATAGTGAAAAATTCAGTGTGAGTATTTGACAAAATAGTTCACTTCTGCATTTAGATTGCTTAAGGGCTCATGTACACTGCAGCTGATAGACTCACATTTTAGGAGCTGTTCAGCATATTTTTCAGCAGCCCCTGAACTCACCCTAATATTTTCCTATGTGTCCATGTACACATCTTCGTTTACAGTCGTTTTTGTACCCAGAAAAAGTGCATTCAGCAGTCGATTTTATAAGCGTTTCAACCGCTAAATGCGGCAAATCACGTTTATAAGCATTTGTGTTTGAAAGTTGATTTTAACTCTTCCAGTTCCCGTTGCTGTCGAGAGGCTTTTTTCATCATGAAAAATGCATGCAAAGTGTTTCCAAGGTACTCAAATGGAGAAAACACTGAACACAGGATGTTCCTACTAAGCTTGTCACACATTGTAATGACCATTTCACACCTCAGCCTTCTCCCACCCTTGGAAACAAAAGATATATTAATGACCATTCACACCTCAAATTCCTCATGAAGACCCCCTGCCAGGTGGCCTTAATGACTCACTCCACCAGACACCTTTTCCACCCTTGGAAACAAAAGAAATGTTAATGAGCAACTCACACCTAAGCTAATCTCAACACCTACTGCTCTCTCTGCTTCTACTCTCTGTATTTCTCTGAAACAGTCTGAAATAGTTAATAATTTACCACTTTTCAGTGCATACTGGGCATTTAGGATGTTCTCCTGTGCTTATCTTTAAAAAACGCTCCTAAATGCAAACGCGCATAAATGTGTTCTGCAAACGCGGCTAAACAGACGGGTTTTTAACCTACGTTTTCCAGCAGTCAGTTTCCATCGTTCAGAAGTGTCCCGTGTACATGGGGCCTAATAGTTACATAGCTGGTCTGGCTGAAAAAAAAGACAAAAGTCCATCAAGTTCAACCATAAAAATATTATTTATGATCACAGGATTTCTTTTAGTGTGTGTTAAAAAAAACATTCTGCGTGGTATATATCAGGGAATGTTATATATGTATATCAGGGTGTGTGGCAAACATTTGCAGCCTATATAGAAGACTTATGGAAGCCACAATGGCCACATTTTTGAGAACCATCAACCAAAAAAAGAATTGCAAGAATTCTATTACAACTACAATAAATTAAGTATAAGGCCAGACCTAAAATGACAATTTATTTTCTTAGAAGTAAGTTTCTTCTCTGGTTTTCTGCGCTTATGATTCAGAAGGAAAATTACTCCACTGTGCTCTCTAAATATATTGTTCTGTAGCAATGGTTCAGCTGACTGTTCAGTATTCCAGCACCTAGTCCTTATATGTCTGTTTTGCAATATTATTTATATGTTCCAGCTTTAAAGACTTCTTTGACGTGGAACCACAGAAATTCCAGAACAAGACAAATGGCATTACTCCAAGGAGGTGGTTAATGCTGTGCAATCCAGGCCTGTCTGATATAATCGCAGAGGTAAAATGTCACTTCACCCTCTTCCTCTAGTGAAGCTAACATTAGTTTGAACTAAAATATGCTAAGGATAGGATGGGGCGACTGAGACATGTCCAGCCATTATTTGTTTAACCATTTTCCCTTGTTATAACTATCAAATGTCAATTTGCAAATTTGGTAACCCCCAAATGGTACAAAAGTTTATGTAACATTTATCTTTGTGGATTTCCTGTTATAATTACATGTCTTACTCCATTGAATAATGAATTTGTTTTGTTAGTAATAAGTAATTCTAGCCTATATATTTGCAGGAATAGTCCATTTAGAAATCAGAGTATACAATTAAATCATTGCTGGATAGAAACCTGGTACATTTGGTAAAGATGACCCTTTGTTCCACCTATACTCGTGTAAATATGCTGAGATTGACATCATAGTGTTTCAGTATTAACTTATTCAAGAAAAAAAAAGTGATATTTTTGTCCTAGGTGAAGCCTGTTGGGTTTCATCAATCTCTAGTTTTCAGTATGTCTTGAATACCCCTGCAGCAAGATCTCCCAGCCATAATTCTCAACTTTGTTCTTGTCCACCTGAGAATTTTGGGTGTTCCTGCAAGGGCAACATACAATGAAACACATTGACTGAGGCATTCACAGGCTTGATAATCCTTAAAAGTGACATTTACCAGATTCTTTCAAAAGATTTTTAATAGTAATATGTAGGCATTGCCATACTCTGGGCCTGATGTAGCAAAGTGTCAGTATTAACTGGAGACATGAGCCTGTTCTGTAAGTCTGAATCAGATTGCCACTATAGGGAACATAGGTTCTTTCTTCAGCCATCAGAACCTTAATTATTCCTATTTCTCTTTGCAGAAAATTGGGGAAGATTTTGTAACTGACCTGAGCCAACTGAGGAAACTGTTGAATTTTGTGAATGACGAGAGCTTTGTGCATGATATTGCTAAAGTCAAGCAGGTAAATTAGTGCACATCTATGGAGACAACAACTAGGACTATGGAATGTCTGTCGTCAGAACATCCTAAAAATTTCATATTAACCTTATTTGTGGAAACTCGTAACAAACGATCCTAGTGCAATGTGTAATGTAACTAGCATTAATAATTCTAAAAGACATGATGTCTCATTTTTAGGTTGTTATATCTTATACCTAACCAATCACATCTGTTGTTTTTTATGTTAGGAGAACAAGTTGAAATTTTCTGCTTATTTGGAGAAGGAATACAAGGTTAAAATTAATCCTTCTTCATTGTTTGACGTACAAGTGAAGAGAATCCACGAATACAAGAGGCAGATCCTAAACTGTTTGCATATCATCACTTTGTACAATCGTAAGTATCAAGCCTCGGCTGAGGTAAAGGTGACCATGCACATACCGATTATCTGAACAAAAAGATCGCTTTTAACCTCTGTTAATAGCATTTCTAGAATATTCAGTAAGTAGTGGCAGCATATTCCCTCAGTACAGGTTACCTGTAGTATGATTCTCATGGTACAAGGGCCATTCATTGTATCTATAGAACAGCCAATACTCAGCATTCTTACTACTAACAGTTAGCTACCATATAATAAAATAAGGTATGGCGCTAACATATATATTAGGTGAACAATATTCCAACTGTGATAGAAACATGTAAAAACCTAAAAGTGATATAAATGAATGAGTCCAAAGTCAAGAACAAAAACCAAAGTCCCACACCAGGTTGTAAATCAAAAACAATGCTGCATAAATTGCTCCATGCAGATCCCTTGTGCTCCACCACCATAAGACAATATATTGCACTCACCAACCATCTGTGACCGCTTAATTAAAAGAAGGTCTAATGCGCTTTGCGTCCCCAAGAGTTTGGAACATCAGTGTATCTTCTCAATGGTTTCCCAATTCACTGCATAGCCAAGGTTATCAAGAATCAGAAGAAGGAATGTCTCATAGTATAGTAGGTTTATTAAAAAAAAATTAATAAAATCAGCCAAGTATCCACTCACATTAGTTGGTGCCCAATCCTTGGCATTAATACACTCAACTCAGGATGCTAGCACTGCTCGAAAGGTAAGGCGAAACATGTAGAGGCAGAATCGCGTCTAGCCACATCCGGATCCCGGTGACGTCATTTCCGCTTCCGATTTATGAAATGCACGCCAACTTCCCTGTCTAGCATCCTGAGCTGAGTGTATTAGTGCCAAGGATTGGGCACCAACTAATGTCAGTGCATATTTGGCTGAGTTTATCCATTTTTTTTAATAAACCTACTATACTCAGACATTTTATTTATGATTATATTCAATTGTCCAATAACTTTTGGTCCCTTGAGAAAGGGGGGGATGGCTACTCTTAAGAGCTGTAACTCCTAAACCCTTCCTCCAATTTGGATGTACATACCCTAAATTAAACCTGAGAGTGTGCACTTTCAGCCCTTATCCATTATATTACTATAGATGGAATATGTTTTGGTAAATACCTGAAAAAAAACTAAAATTGCGCCTATGTCCAAATATATATATGGACCTAACTGTATATCCCCACACTTAATTATGATTTTACTTGTAAAATCACACATTTCCACCATCGACTTTGATTGATCTCTGATTTACAAACCTAAACAAGCCTCTGCACAGGCGTCTTCCAGTGTAAATTGTATTTTCACCTGCTGCATCAGCATTCTCGGTCTAATTTGATTACATTATTAAAAATGTGCCCCAGGATATATTCTTGCTTTATATCTGATACCTGGCCTTCTTGATGTTGACTGGATGATTCCTTATGAAAACCTGTATTCTGCCAAGGCACAGGTCACTGGCTGACAGTGAGTGACAGATGAGACTATGGCGGAGTAAAGGTATTTATTTCAGAATTGAACAGCTGAACTCTTATGTACATGCAATTTATCTTTTAGGAATCAAGAAAGATCCATCCAAGGTATATGTGCCAAGAACAGTCATGATTGGAGGAAAGGTACAGTATTCAACTTATTTACTTACACAATTTTGAGCAAAAAAAGAATGAATAAGAGCAAACACCATGCTATTACCCTAAGGGATAGTTCACACTAGCTTTGAAAGCAGGCAGTTTTTTTATGAGCATTTTTACTATGGGCAGCACACAGTGCTGTTCACATTATCAAAACATGAAGCGTTAGCGTAGCATCGCTTCAAAATTGAAGGCTCATGTTGAGTCAGGAGGAGTTTGAAGCCTTTTAATACCTCCCATTCCAGTCTATGGTGACACTCCTCAAATGTCCTGGCAGGCGTTTGCAGTGCGGTTCTGGCTCGTTAATACCGTAGAGTTTATTATAGGCGTTTGTGGTGCAGTTTTAACGCTTATAAAACACCCATACTAAAGCTCATTAACACCTGCCTAATGCCCATACTAACAATATAGGGGCATTTTTGAACAGTTGGAAATTTTAGTCAAGTGTGAACAAGCCCTAAGGCAGCTAAAATGGTTCAATGTTTTGAATATATCCATCTGGTTAGTTTGCTTTTGGGTTTTTTTGTCTGTTTTTTTTAAATATGTTATGCTCACCCTAAATGCTAGAACACTATTGTTCTTGCTATTCATAACTGTTAACCTGTGAGTTGCCATTATTTCTCATTTCTTGTTCTGCAGGCAGCTCCCGGCTATCACATGGCAAAAATGATCATAAAATTAATCACCTCTGTGGGAAATATTGTCAACAATGATCCTGTGGTTGGGGACAGACTTAAGGTTATTTACCTAGAGAACTACCGTGTATCGTTGGCCGAGAAAGGTTAGTCACTGCATTTTGGGAGAGTAAATGAGAGGATCTGATTGTTTGCTATATGGCGTAAAAATGGATATTCATTCTCACCCATTTTAAGAACACCAGACAAATATAAACACACTCTTTAATCCAGTCATGTATTAATCATGTTTTTTAACCATGGCCAATCAGTGATCACACGAATAGTAGTAAGCAAGATGTGACTTCCTGACATCATGTCTTACTACTTGTAAAATCTGTGAATGATCACGCTAATCACGCCATCAGGGCCCTGATGAAGTCACGTGATTAACGTGACGCAACACATCGGCACATGGTGACGTACTTCTGGTTTGGACGCCATCTTTGTACACCCATGTAACTACACCCAGAACATGAGGTTTGTTCTAATAATGCTCTGAATAAGACTATTGAAATAGCTACATGAAAGGAGAGAGAGAGCCATATTAACAGCAGGAGTGAGCAGTGAGGGGAATATCTGACCAGACCAGATCCATCCACAAAGGAGCCTTCAGTTTATCCACTGAGAGTATTGTCTCTAAATGCGCCTATTGATTGCGCATCTGGGCTCCCTGTGAGCTTCTAACAACCCACAGAGCTACATGAAAGGAGAGATAGAACCATATTGACAGCAAGAGTGAGCAGTGAGGGGATTATCTGACCAGACCAGATCCATCCACAAAGGAGCCTTCAGTTTATCCACTGAGAGTATTGTCTATAAAAGCGCTTATTGACTGCGCAGTCTTTATAATATTGGTCATTTTACCACAGTATTGGATGGAATATCTACTATTGGAGATATTTTGATCTTCCACACTTATATTGGAACAATATTCTAGCACTGTAATAGCACTACCGGTCACTAACAGTGACTAACTTCACGTCATCACAGAAGTCACTTCATTTGTATGAATTTTGGCACCTTGTCACAAGTCGCTTTATTTTTATAATTTTTATGACAATTTTTATGATTATTGGCATATTTTATTTATCCCCCCCAAGTAGTACAGTGTCACACTATGGTGACACTGTACTGCTAGGGTGACAGTATGTTAAAAAAAAATAATAATATAAAAAAAATAAAAATGTAAAAAAATTTTTTGAAAAATTATCATTTTTGGTTATAAACGAATTTGGGTTTTTTTTACAAAAATTTTATTAAAAAAAACCCTTTTTTTTCAAAATGTGTGGACTTTTTCATTTATATAGCAAAAAAATAAAAATCCCAGTGGTGAATAAATACCACCAAAAAAAAGTTTTATCTGTCTCAAAAAAATGGTAAAAAAATGCATATGCAGTGTTGCATGACCGCACAATTATCATTCAAAGTGTGATAGCACTGAAAGCTGAAAATTGTCTTGGACTGGATGGGGGTGAAAGTGCCCAGACTTGAAGTGGTTAAACTGCTTGTATAAGTAAAGGGAATATGCCTTCTTTTTGCTTCCCATGTAAAGCAGCAGTCACACTGGAGAGGGAGGGTCAGTGCAGTTTTGCTTTTGTACAGTGCTGTCAATCTAATACTTTGAATATATTTAAAGGAGGAGAGCAGAAAGATGACCTAATCATTGACCAGGCTGTATTGCTAAGAATAGGTTTACAAATAAAATAAAGCAGGACATCCCTCCTCCTTAGCCCCCTAACTCTAACTCCCACCAGGTTTCTAACTATCTCTTTCTGATGATGATGGACTCCCTTTGTATACAGCAATGCTGCACAGATCTTGTCTCAAGCTTCTTTGAAGCAACTTTCTATAGACTTTGAATGTGCTGTACAAGTATTATTGGACTAAGGCCCCATTCAAGGCAGTAATTAGTTACTGAACAGACAGCAGAGAACACAATTTCTGCAGTGATGCTGTAAATCACTGCAGAAGGCCACCACATTCGGGAAAAAAAGAAGTAAACACCTGGGTGGGGAGGTTTAGCTTAGAATAGGTTAGGGGACCAGGGAGGGTGCTGGGAAGACATGGCCATTTAACTAAAATGGAGGTCTGACACATTGCTGTGCTGTTTGTCAAGGTCAGCATAGATCACAAAATTGGTTGAGCTGTTTGCTTGGAATTTAATAAATAAAGCACATAGTCCCTTCTAGCTCTCTCTAAAGATTCTATGATGAACTTAGAGATATGAAAGCATAAGGCCCCTTTCACAGGGCACAGACTGTTTTGATCAGCTGGGGATCTGTCCACTGATCCACTGCTGATCAGAGTAGACTAGGCAGATGACAGATCCGTTTCCACTCAGTCTATGCAGAGCAGACACGGACAGAGCCCACTCCATACTCCAAGAGTGGCTGGAAGTAAACCGACTCGGCTGTCCATTTACACCCGACTGCCCTCCAATCCGATTTGCCTAGACTGATGGGGAGGGATCCCCATCCATTTTTTTTTTTTTTTTTTCCAGACTGTATCTGATTGGAGGTAGGCGCGTATAAAAGGACACAAGTCCATTTACACCTGCTGGTGAATGGACTGTCTGATCAGGTCCACCTGAAAAACTGACAGGCGGATCTGATAGAATCCATCGTGTGAAAGTGGCATAAGGACTTTAATTGTTAAATAGAGAATGCTGAGTCTTGTTTTGTTCTTTGTCTTCCAGTGATTCCAGCTGCTGACCTGTCTCAGCAGATCTCCACAGCAGGCACGGAGGCCTCCGGCACTGGAAACATGAAGTTTATGCTGAATGGTGCTCTGACCATTGGAACAATGGATGGTGCCAATGTTGAGATGGCAGAAGAGGCCGGAGAGGGCAATTTGTTTATCTTTGGCATGAAAGTGGAGGATGTGGAAGCACTTGACAAGAAAGGGTTTGTATTGTGTTATAACTAGAAACTTTTTTGCATTCATTGGCAGCCATTTGTAGACCACTGTCTAAAAGAATTTTGCGCACTGATCCACCAGAAGCACATAACACCAGTGCAGTACCAACACTTGTAACAGATAATCTATGATTTTTATTTTAATTCAAAACATGTGCTTCGTTCAAAGGGACTGGATTTATTGGAGAACTTCTCAAGCCATTTTTTCAGTGCAAGGACTGGAATATTTCTTCAATTTTTTTCGGCAGCCCCCTTAAAATCAGAGTATAAGAATACATAAAGATCTTACCTATTAAAATATAACTCGGGTGTAGGCATGCTTTGAGAGGTAGAGATCACCTGGACAACATAGTAGAGATCAAAGATCACTGGGCGGCGGTGCCATTTTTTTTTTTTTGTTAAGGAGTTGGCTAGCAAGCACCCAATAAAAAGTAAGGACAAGGAGAGCACGGAATGGAGGAAACCTAGCAAAATATAATAAAATTGATGTCACTGTAAAATTATAAACTTGGCCTACCTTAAATTTAGCTTCAGTAACCCCCACAAGTCTGATACAGGAGTCCATCATGAAGGCAGAACCATGGGAACTGTAGGCTGACTTGCTCCACTAGTTTTAGGTCTTGCTGTCTGCTTCGAGTTCTGGCAGGTATAAGTAGTATATAGGGCAGTGTACAGAGGTCAGTAGTAAGTAGGGCAGTGTACAGGGGGATCTGGAAGGATTTTTTTTCCCCTGCAGGAGCAAATTGGATTGTGCTTTGCTGGGTTTTTTTTGCCTTCCTCTGGATCAAACTGTGGGTGTAGGATTATAACTTTTTTTATGGTTTAACTGGATGGATTTTTGTCTCTTTTCAGGCAGACTAACTATGTAAGTAGTAAGTAGGGCAGTGTACAGAGGTCATTAGTAAGTAGGGCAGTGTACAAAGGTCAACAGTAAGTAGGGCAGTGTACGGAGGTCAGCAGTAAGCAGGGCAGTGTACGGAGGTCAGCAGTAAGCAGGGCAGTGTACGGAGGTCAGCAGTGTAGAGGAAAAAGTAGGGCACTGGACTGGGGTTAGCAGGACAGGGGGGTTAGGAGGGCACAGTACTGGAGGCTCAGAAGAGAGCGCAGTATGGGGCATCAGGGTGACGCGATACAGCAGGGTCAGGTGGGCAAACCACTGGGTGGTCGGGAGGGCACAGTACAGGTGGGTCAGGAGGGTACACCACTGGGGGGAAGGTCTGGAGGGTACACCACTGGGGGTGGGGATCAGGAGGGAGCACCACTAGGAGGGCGGACAAGAGCGTAAACCACTGGGGGCAGGAAGGAGGTCGGAAGAGTAAACCACTGGAGGGGTTCAGGAAAGTTTACACCACTGGATGGGGGGGCATAGAAAAAGTTTCAAAACGCCTTGTTCTAGTGCTGATCCCAGCCGGCCCTCCTCTCTCTCTCCATACACTACAAGGAGAAGCTCAGGCTCGTTCACACAAGAGCCTGCCTCTGTCGCCTATGACAGCTGCAGGATAGCTCTGCGGGTTTGGGCTTTGCTGGCTAGGACTACTTATGACATGTCTCCTCTTTATTGCGCATCTCTGCCAGTTGGGGTTTGGCAAAGCAGGGACAAGCGGTCAACCAGTGATCAATGGGTTGCCGACCCCTGGTATAACTGTTTTCAAACTATTATAATTAATGCTGGGTATTTGGGTAACCTGAAGACTAAAGCTCTTTCATTTATTTTGTTTTACGTATGTGCTAGCAGTGTTCAGTTCCTACAATAACGCTGATAGGGCCCAATTATGACTATTTAGAGATTGTAGATTATATACCCTTTTCCCTACCAGGTATATAAACATGAATAGAAGCATTAACTCTACATAGTTGCTATCCTAGCAACATTGAATGTAATGTTATAATTATATTCAATCAATAACTATAATTTTCTTAACCTGACAAATAGTTCCAATATGAATTCTTGTATATGTGACAAATGGGGCCTTTCTGTGTATTGTTTGTGTGCCGAACACCACCATCTGGCAGTTTCCAGACGGACTATCCCTAGACATTGCTTTGTTTTAGCTTAGAAAGTGTGCACCTCAACCTCTGCTAGCAGTAGTTGTTAGTGTCAGCCCTTTTTTTGTAGCCGGTATAAAATTAGATCTGTTTTAATGTGCATTTAAATAAAATACAAAAATATTCAAAACATTCAGTGGGTTTTTTTTTCTTCTCATTTCATTTTATTCTCTTTAGATACAATGCAAAAGAGTACTATGATAGAATCCCAGAGCTTCGGGAAGTGATCAATCAGATCAGAGATGGCCGCTTTTCTCCAACAGAACCAGATCTTTTCAAGGATATCGTCAATATGTTAATGAATCATGACAGGTAAACAGATTAAGAATCAAATAATTATATTTCAGTGTGTTTAAAGCTGGACTCCAGTGAGATAAAAACAGCACTAGTTACATGTATTTGGTAAAAACCATTAGTGAATCAGCAGTTTCAAAACTGATATTTCAGTATTTAGTATACACTATGTTGCCAAAAGTATTGGGACACCCCTCCAAATTATTGGATTCAGGTGTGCCAATCACCTCCATGGCCACAGCTGTATAAAATCAAGCACCTAGGCATGCAGACTGCTTCTACAAACATTTGTGAAAGAATGGGTCGCTCTCAGGAGCTCAGTGAATTCAAGCGTGGTACCGTGATAGGTTGCCACCTGTGCAATAAGTCCATCTGTGAAATTTCCTTGCTATTAAATATTCCTTGGTCAACTGTTAGTGGTAATATAACAAAGTGGAAGCAACTGGGAACAACAGCAACTCAGCCACGAAGTGGTAGGCCACGTAAAATGACAGAGCGGGGTCAGTGCATGCTGGAGCACACAGTGTGCAGAAGTTGCCAACTATCTGCAGAGTCAATAGCTAAAGACCTCAAAACTTCATGTTACCTTCAGATTAGCACAACAACAGTGCGTAGAGAGCTTAATTGAATGGTTTTCCATGGCCAAGCACCTGCATCTAAGCCTTGCATCACTAAGTGCCGATGCAGTGGTGTAAAGCACGCCACCACTGGACTCTAGAACAGTGGAGACGTGTTCTCTGGAGTGACAAATCACATTTCTCTGTCTGGCAATCCGATGGACATTTCTGGGTTTGGCAGTTGCCAGGAGAACGTTGCTTGTACCAAGTGTAAATTTTAGTGGAGGGGGGATTATGGCATGGGGTTGTTTTTTAGGGGTCAGGCTTGTTTTTTAAGGGTCGGGCTTTCCAGTGAAGGGAATTCTTAAGGCGTCAGCATAGCAAGACATTTAGGACAATTTCATGCTCCCAACTTTGTGGGAACAGTTTGGGGATGGCCGCTTCCTGTTCCAATATGACTGCGCACCAGTGCACAAAGCAGGGACCATAATGACATGGATGAGCGAGTTTAGTGTGGAGGAACTTGACTGACCTGCACAGCCCCCTGACCTCAACCCGATTAGAACACCTTTGGGATGAATTAGAGCAGAGACTGCGTGCCAGGCCTTCTCATCCGACATCAGTGCCTGATCAAATTTGGAAGAATGGTCATACATTCCATAGACATACTCCTTAACCTTGCGGACAGCCTTCCTAGAAGAGTTGAAGCTGTTATAGCTGCAAAGGGTGGGCCAACTCAATATTGAACCCTATGGACTATGACTGGGATTCCATTAATATTCATGTGCGTGTAAGGCAGGCATCCCAATACTTCTGACAATATAGAGTATGTCTGAGAGTCAAACTACCTGATTATTTACTATATCAGTCAGTGACACGTTTGATGAGATCTCATCACTTGAGTTCCTGAGTCTCGCATGCCTGATCAGACCAATATGATGAGTTCTCACTCTGCCTGTTGGATTTTAAAGTAAATGTAAACCCAAAAACAAAAAAATACTGTGCAGCTTACCAGTACTTAGAATATGACTATATTAAGTTTTTTTATCAGACTTTTTAAACTTTATTTTCATCTGGTATTTCTGCCATTAACAGACTTCCTGTCCTAGGATGATAACACTCATTCACCCTTCTGTGTCAGCACAAAAACAGGACTATGGAACCCCACACCTCTCCTAGTGTCCATAACATAGAGGCATGGTTCTGTAAACCTCAGTGAACAATGTAATTGATAAGCCAACACAGTCAGGGAGCATAAGAAGTTAACAGCTGACAAGATTTCTGTAAAGATCAACCGGCAATTTTTTGAACTCTTCATACAGATATTGCAAAACACTTTCAATGGTAGATTTAAGAGACAAAGAGGGACCAAATGTGATAAATGCATTATTGTTGTTTACATACATTTTAATTTGATTTTATATTATGGCGAATACAACAGGAGAAGATGGAACACAAAAAGGCCTCAAAATCCCAGGTGGACGTTAACAGAGTTGGAAACACAAATGGGAATTATGACAGGGAGATTGTGCTGTTGGAATATGCAACACAAATAAAATGTAGGGACATGAGACCTCCATGTCATAATTCCGGACATCTCTGCATTTGGGATTTTTTGACTGCAACATTTTTTCATGTGTTTCAGTTTTTTCTGTTTCATTCTTTGTAAATTATAATAAATAACTAAATTTTACAGCAAGAGTGGGAACCTTACATAATGTCCACAGCAGGTGTGCAGACCCAGGAACACGAGCAGCAATCCCACCAATAGAGTGCAAGTTGGTTTAACAGCATGCGATGGATTTGTGAAATATTTATCTTTAGGTCTACAGTGTTTTTAGGGAAGTATAGGCATTTATACAAATAAGGTGTTAAAGAGATCTCTTGGAATTAATGATATAAAGCTGCCAAAATACAGAAAGATTTTTAAATTGGGTGTTAAAGAGATCTCTTGGAATTAATGATATAAAGCTGCCAAAATACAGAGTTTTAAATTGGGTAATGAAAACTGTACAGAGAAAATAGTGAATCTCATATTTATATACAGTACATATGCCATCACCCCAAAACTATCAATACCTTGATAACAAACCTAAAAATAATCGAACTGTAACTTCAATTGTTAAAATGTTCCAATGTTTGCTACACATTTTTTTGATGGTCAAACTTTTTTTTTTTTTTTTTTGTCCAGAGCATGTGGTTCATCCTGTATGGTTTGGCTACATGATCCCCTCCTATTTAACACCTTATTATTGTAAATGCCTATATGCCCTTGGAAAGCGCTGTAGACCTTTAGACAAATATTTCAAAATTCATCACACATCTGAATCTGAATATCCATTTTGTCTGGACCCTTTAACTACCAAGCAATGACATTATATTTAAGCAAAATATGGTCTTGCCAACTCTATATAATGTATAACCTTTTCATAAAATAAGTTTTTATCGTATACATTCTACTTTTTATAGGTTTAAGGTATTTGCAGATTATGAAGCCTATATTAAATGCCAAGGAAAAGTGGACCAATTATATATGGTAAGCCAGCAGCATTTACTTACACCTATATGTATTTGAGGGCAGCACAATGCCTTTTTACTTACCTCTTAGACCTTGCAGCACTGGGGTCCTTGGTTTGAATCTCATTCAAGACACAATCTGCATGGACTTTGCATGTTCGCCCTTTGTTTGCTTGGGTTTCCTCCAATTACTCTGGTTTCCTGCCACATTCCAAAGACATGCTGATAAGTTAATTGGCTCCTGTCTAAATTAATATGCACATTCAAATTGGCTATGCACATGTGTTATCACATTTTGCATGCTGGTCCCAAGCCCGAGCAATTGTGCAGTGTTGAGGAAGGACCTGGTGACCTGCTTAATATAAAATTGTGTCACATTATTATGGGAAAAGACTTCCAAACGCATCAGACTTTGTGCCCAGAGAGCTTTTCTGTAGATTTGCTGAAAGTTGGCTATGACCTCATGGCGACGTGTATATAAAATAAATAAAAAAAAATATATATATATAAAAACTTTATTTATTTTTTTTTTAATCTGTACTGTATGTTTCCTTCTGTAACATGTTGATAACTGCTTTGCAGAACCTCAGGGAATGGACCAAGAAAGTCATCAAGAACATTGCTTGCTCTGGCAAGTTCTCCAGTGACAGGACAATAAGTGAATACGCCACTGAAATCTGGGGGGTTGAGCCCTCCGCTGTGAAGATTCCTCCACCCAACATACCAAGGGAATAGATATATGATGGTGCATGTACTCACTGTTCTCCGCTGGTAGTTTGGTTGGCTCAGGATTAGTGTTTGTTCACCAGTTGTGATTGCTTTTCCCATCAGAGCATAGCCTTGTCATTGGGAAAACATCCTGATTGTATTATTCAACACTGACTCTCTGCAGATAAGCTGCTCACAATATTAGGATTTGATCTTTATTCCAGGCCTGGCTATATAACTAGGCCAGAGCCCTGACAAAGGCAAGACGATACTTAGGTCATCTATAAGTCATAGGCAGTGCTTCCATAATATATTACCTGAGGAAGCAAGGGCAGTCTCTGCTGTTACTTTCATAGAGAACACAAACCATATTCATGTTAAGTCATACAGGATTGAACCACTTGTAATCCACTAAATATTAATGAACCATAGCTAGTATTTGTGCTCATTACATACACTGTTTTTTTAAAAACTTGTTTCTTTTTATCCTGTATGAACAAAATAGGAAGCACATGTGAGATGTGTTTCTCCTTCTGCATTTCACATTGACTCCATGTAGTACTGTTGTATCATATTGTTTTAGTCAAATAGCATTAGTATTTTTATTTTTATTTTATCAGGTTTTAGATTTTGAACACATCTGGGCTTTTTTTCAGTGAGGCAATGCAGAGAATAAAAAGGCATTATGCAGATTGCAGTGACCCATAGACACAATCACATTGCAGTCAGTTTTAGTCCAGTTCTAAGTTATTTTTGATTTGTTGCTAGCGTATACTGCACGGTTGTACATTATCAGCACTCTTTGCAGTGCCTTACTGAATAAGTCTACTTGTCAGAAAAACATTAGTAGCAATGAGACAGTTTGGACTTACAAGGCTTATTCACAAAGGGCATTATCCCCATGCATAGATATGTGACCTTAAATGGTAAGGAAAGAAGTACCTCCAGAGGTAGAATGGAGCATAGAGTATGTGTTGCTATGACATAAGCCATTAGGAAAGGCCTGTTTAGAGTGTCATGTAAAGTTTTAAAGTACTGTAATAAAAGCAGTGAAGTAGCTGCAACACAGTGGCACAGAGCAAACACTTTCCCAACGCTGCAGTGGACCATCTGTAGGAATGTGGCCGTCATATCCTTGCTCTCCGCACAACCTGGTGAATGGGACATCGAGCAAGCTTGGCGTGAAACTTTGTAAATCATGTGTTTGTCTTTGCAAAAATGCCGTTGTTTTAGCATTTGTGTGTGTGTGCGATTTCAGAGTACTGTATTTCTAACTAAAGATTTGCACGTTAACTCCACCTTCATGTTTGTGAGTCTTATTCCTTTAATAAAACTAGTATCTACTCTCTCAGCCTATTGAATGGAAATTTTTATAGTTCAAGAACTTGTTGGTTGCTGGGTCTTTATAGAGTTGGTCCAACTGCAATTTTAGTTTTGGTTAGATGCAGGTGTCCTTAAAGCTGACCTGTACTCCTTTTGTAAAGTTTTAAAATAAATGTTCTGCCATTCTGCCTAGAAGCAGATGTCAAAAGATGCCTGCTATTGCCTTTATTAACCAGAAAACCTTCTTGTGTGTCTCTCTAGTTTCACATTTTTACTGGCACACAATTCAAGGTTAAGCCCTGCCAGCTGCCATGTTAGAGTTTTTACTGCTGTCTTTAAAGAAGGAAATATTTTTCTAGTGGTGGAGACAACAACAGCCAAATGGGCTTTTTAAATCTTACCCCACCCAAAAACCTAATTGGTAGGACACCTTTATAATGCTGCTTATTAATGTAAACGGTTTTGAGCATGAAAGAAAACTCCCAGAACAAACAATAACTCAAAGCAGGGGTCTAATTGGCTGCAGTGTGGTATACTTTTTTTTAAATTTTTCAATATATTCTCCGATTTTTGTTTGAGGTCTAATAGTAATGTTAGGGACACAAACCCCAAACCTTGGTTGTCACAGTTAAAGTACACCTTCTATGAGAGCAATATGGGGCTGCTATTGCTGGGCTCCTTAAGCTAGAAGCCATGCTCTACAGTGACACATAACAAAGGGCCCAGATGCTGGTGACATTATTGACCTAATATGACCACATGACCATAATAAGATATGGTCATATACCAAATATGGCCATGTGGTCATATTAGGCCAATAATGTCACCAGCACCCCAACTCCTTTGTTCTGTGCAGCTGCAGGGTGGGGAATTCCATGGCCACCACCAATTGGAACAATGCTGACAGATTTACATGGATTCAGTTTGCCCCAACTCTTGGCTCACCCTTACTTTCTATGGGCCAAATGGTAAATCTGTCCCTTGTCTTAAACATACAGCCAAGCCAGTTAACAATAAAACTTTTTTTTTTTGGATCCTAGTGGAAACTAAACTCAGGACCCCGGCACTGCATGGCCACAGCATTATTTACCATTCTGAACGCTAATATAAAAGGGAAAATGCTGTATCTTGTATTGCAAAGTGCAATATACAATATTTTAAAAACAATCCTCACCATGCGAGTCTTAGTTACAACCAAAACAGACAATTGTTTTCCATTACAGTTACAGAGGTATTAAAGTGTACCTGTATTTCTCCCAAACTAGGCAAAGTATCACGTTCACTTTACTCTATGGAGCTTAGGTAGCAAGTACTTAACCTCCACTCACATCCACTGCTCCAGTCTACTGGAAGCCTGATTTAATATTGCCCAGTGAATATCAATGGATATGAGGGAAAATGTGACACTTCTCTTGCCTTTCTGCAATGCGGCATTTGGTGCCCTAGGGGTCTCTAACTAGGCCCTAGCACTGTCACATGGTAGCAAGGAGAATGCACAGCAAGCCAAAACTTTTACACAGGAATTTGGGTTGGATGCTGGTGGATCTGGGGGGGCAAGTAGAAGGGTAATTACGTGCAGATATACCTTTGCATGTATTTACTCTAGTGGTTGTCTTTATACATTGTAATCCATGCCAAGGACTGCTGAAGCTTAGGATAAGCCACAGAGATTCTGCTTTTTTTTTTCTATGGTCCGATTGTACTGTGACTTGCACAAAGAAATGTAATCAACAAGCACACTTTGTATATGCAAGTAGTATTCTGGCCATATAGGATGCTTTAGTGGCAGGGATAGTCTGGGGCACAGGGAAGGAGTGGGGTTCCACTTGTTTCTTGTGGTTTAGGGGAGCCTGCAGGGGGGGGGGGTTGAAATTTTTTTCTCGGGCTTAGAAGAGGGTTGCACCTTTTCTCTGGGTTTTAGGAGAACCTGGGGCTTCGCGTTTATTCTCTGGTGTTTAGAAAAGCCTGGGGGTAGAGGGGGATACACTTATTTTCCTGGGATTTAGGGGAGCCTGGAGTTTGCATTTATTCTCTGGAGTTTAGGGTAGTCTTCGCACTAGCCTAACGCACTTCAAGTGGGTTCACCCTTGAAGTGCGTTAGCTATTCCACATTCACTACTGATTGCTGGTAGTGTTGGAGAGCTCTCCTGTCCCTAGATTCCGGCATGTCCTCCATGTCTGAATGTAAGATTTGACAGTATGCCTGTGACTTTTTCTCTTTTGTGAGTACTTTAATACATTAACAATTCAGTGGAGTCAGAAGATGTTGCACTAGGCCAACATATTCTCTCTTTTCTTTGTTTTTCTAAGCATTAGGGGAGCCTGAAGGTTTACACATATACTCTGGGCATTAGAGGAGCCTGGAAATTGCACTTATCCTCAGGCCCAACATACACTGCTCAAAAAAATTAAAGGAACACTTTTTAATCAGAGTATAGCATTAATTCAATTAAACTCCTGGGCTATTGATCTAGTCAGTTAAGTAGCAGAGGGGGTTGTTAATCAGTTTCAGCTGCTTTGGTGTTAATGAAATTAACATGTGCACTAGATGGGCAACAATGAGATGACCCCCAAAAGAGGAATGGTTTTACAGGTGGAGGCCACTGATATTTTTTCCCCACTCCTCTTTTCTGACTGTTTTTCACTAGTTTTGCATTTGGCTAGGGCCAGTGTCACTACTGGTAGCGCGAGGCAATACTTTGACCCTATAGAGGTTGCACAGGGAGTCCAACTCCTCCAGGATGGCACATCAATATGTGCCATTGCCAGAAGGTTTTCTGTGGCTCCCAGCACAGTCTCAAGAGCATGGAGGAGATTCCAGGCAGTTACTCTAGGAGAACTGGACAGGAACATAAAAAGGTCCTTAACCCATCAGCAGGACCAGTATCTTCTCCTTTGTGCCAGGAGGAACAGGATGAGCACTGCCAGAGCCCAACAAAATGACCTCCAGCAGGTCTCTGGTGTGAATGTCTCTGACCAAGCAATCAGAAACAGAATTCATGAGCGTGGCCTGAGGGCCCGACGTCCTCTAGTGGGCCCTGTGCTCACTGCCCAGCACCATAGAGCTTGATTGGCATTTGCCATTGAACACCAGAATTTACAGGTCCACCACAGGTGCCCTGTGCTTTTCACAGATGAGAGCAAGTTCACCCTGAGCACATGTGACAGATGTGAAAGGGTCTGGAGAAGGTTATGCTGCCTGTAACAGCATTCAGCATGACCGTTTTGGTGGTGGGTCAGTGATGGTCTGGGGAGGCATATCCATGGAGGGACACACAGACCTCTACAGGCTAGACAATGACACCCTGACTGCCATTAGGTATCGGGATGAAATCCTTGGACCCATTGTCAGACCCTACGCTGATGCAGTGGGTCCTGGGTTCGTCCTGGTGCATGACAATGCCCGGCCTCGTGGCAAGAGTATGCAGGCATTTCCTGGAGGATGAAGGAATTGATACCATTGAATGGCCCCCACGCTCACCTGATCTAAATCCAATAGAACATCTCTAGGACAGGGCTTAAAATTTCAAGTCCTGAGCTACTAGTCAGGCTTTAAGAGTTACTCGCCACCAACAAACACAGAGACACCTGTACACACACAGACATGTACACAGAAATACACACGCACAGACACGTACATACAGACACATGTACAGTTGTGTTCAAAATAATAGTCAGACATCACTAACCTGATCAATCACTGT